CCTTCCCCAACATCTGCAAACCACAGGTGCCTCCATAAAGTAACCCTGAACCTGGGCCCATCCACCATTCCTTCAGTAACATGCACATGCCCCACTCTAGGCTGCTCAGGGCCTCATTTGAAGTAGCAAACCTGGAAAAAGACATAAATGTACAAATCCAGGAGGTAAAAGAATACCAGGTTACTTAAACAAAATGAGATCAACAACAAGACATACAGTGGTGAAATTTCCAAGGGCTCAAGACAAAGAAAGAATTGAAGTTTTGTGGGGGAAGAAACAGATACGCTACAAAAACAAAAACAAATCAGGCTAACACTGGAATTCTTAGAAGAAACACTTCCTGCAAAGAGAGAATGTAATGATGCGATACAAAAAATTAAGTAAAAAATCCTGCCAACCACAAATACTATATTCTACAAAGCTCTCCTTTAGTTATAAGAGAGAATAAAAGGCTTTCTCAGATATAGAAAAACGGAAGCAGTCTGCAAGGACAAGATCCCCTTCCAATATTGAAAGGAACTTTAATAGCTAAACAAAGTAGAAAAACAAATAAAAATAACTGAAAAAAGACATAGACACAACTACAAAATTAAAGACAAATGGCAACAACAGGCTTTAGATATCAATAATCACTCTAAATATTAGCAGAGTAAACTCACCAATAAAGACACAGAATGTCTGGATGAATTAGGAAACATAGTCTGACCTTCTATCTCCAGGAGACACATCTGAGCTCCAAAGATAAACATAGGCCCAAGTGAAAAGGTTGGAAAAGGTTCTACAAATGAATAGAACACAAAGGAACTATAAGGATAGCAACACTTATATCAGACAAAACAGCTTTCCAGTTGAAAGTGTAACAACAGACAGGAATGAACACTACATACTGACTAAGGGGACTTAGCCCTCATGAATATATACTCACCAAATTAAGGAACAGCCACATACATTAGGCGACTACAATCAACACAGAAAACAAACATCGAAAAAACACATTTCTGGAGGAGACTTCAACACCTCACTCTCACCAGTGGGTAAATCAATGAGACAAAATGATTAGGTATGACAGTTTATAACAGTGAATTAGAACACATGGGCTTAATGGATTTTTAAAGATATTTCATTCTCTAAAACCAGAATATACATTTTTCTCAAGTGCACATGTTCAGTCTCCAGGATTGACCACATATTGGTCCATGAGACAAATAAAAAAAGACATGAAGGTTGAAATCTTACTAAGCATCTTCTCAGACCATAAAGATAACAAAAATAGAAATCAGCTACAAAATAGAAGCAGAGAAAATCTCTAATATGAGGAGACTAAACAACATACTATTAAAAGAACACTAGGTCAGTGAGGAAATTAAAGAATAAATCAAAAAATGTCTTGAAACAAATGACAATGAGGTAACAAATTTCCAGAATGTATAAGGAACAGCAAAAGCAGTACTAAAGGGAGATATATATCAATATAGGCCCATATCAAGAAACAATAAAGAACCCAAATCAACAACCTTGTCTCTTATCTTGAAAACTAGAAAAAGAACAAAGAAATCCAAAGAAGAAAGGAATAATAAAAATTAGAGCACAAGTAAATGAAGTAGAAATAAAAAAGACAGTCCAAGAGATAAATTAAAGCTTGTTCTTAAAAAAAAAAAAAAAAGCTGACAAATCTCTATCTAAACTCACTAAGAAAAAAATGGGAGAAAATTCACATAAATCATAAATATGATCAAAACCTAGAGAGAAGTTATAACAGATACTATAGAAATTCAGAGGATAAGAGATTATTATAAACATTTGTATGCAAATGTGTACAACAACTTAGATGAGATGAACAAATGCTTAGAATTTCCCAATCATTCAAGACTGGCTAGGGAATACAGAAAACCTGAATGAGCAAATCACAAACAAGAAAATTGAAACAGTAATCAAAACTCTCTCAAGAAACTAATGTCCAGAGCCAGACGGCTTCATCAGCAAATCCTACCAAACTTGAAGACAAACTAATACACGTTTTGATCAAACTCTTTCAAAAAATTGAGAAGGGGATATTTACAAACACATTTTGTCAGGCCAACCTTATGCTAATACCAATATCAAAAACAGTGTAAAAAAGAAATCTGGCCCTCCCTGGTGGCGCAGCGGGTTAAAGCACAGCACTGAGAATCTGAAGCCATTTCCGCATGAGTTCGATTCCCGCCTGCCCCGGAGGTGACCACATGGTGTGGCAAGCACCACACTGGGAGAGCACCGGGCCCACGCACACCCTGTGCCAGTGAACCAATCCATCCCACCCCTGCTCCATTTACCAGAGACCTAAAAGGCCTCTAGGGGAGGTGTCTGGCGCCCCCTAGTGGAGTAGAACAAAATCACCAACTACCTGAGAGCAGGAAGGCAGGGACTCCAAGCCTCTCTGCTGGTTCTGAGTAAATGCAGAAGGAGGGAACCTTAGGGGACAGCGCCAGAAATATAGCCACAGCATAAATACCCTGCTGGATTTTCGGCTTAACAGTACAGGACTTGATCTGGTCAACAATATCCAATACCTCTGAAGGAACACCCCAAAGAGATGCCATCCAGCACCAGTGGCACAACATCCCAACACGTAGAACTAATTAGAAATGATGATTTAGGAATAAAAAAACTCAAAATTATTGAGTACATTCATGGAATTAACTAGTTACATGATTTTGGGAAAACGGCTTATTTTTAAAATCTGTTTCTTCTCTTATTTCTTTATTTTAGTTATGGACCATTTATATTTGAAAAAAACAATCAGAATTCTACCACATAACTTCTGAATCAGGGACTGATGTCTGGATTATATTTGAGTCATCTGTTTATACTGATATAGTGAATTGGATAATTGGCATATATCCACTCTATTTCTTCTGTGCAGGACAAAGAGAATAATTTGCGCTTCATATGACCTCGGGGTGAGCAGATCTATACACTACTAAACATGTGGGTACAAATTGCATTAGTGACTCACAGCTGGAAAATGGAAAATAAGCAGAATGATGGTTTTGGAGCAATGATATATTTCATGCCTGAGAGAACAACTATTCATTTGTGTCATTTTCAAAATTATTAACTTAGGATTCAAATTTCTGGCTATTTTCCCTTAGTTAGAAAAGATCACATAAAATCTTCTCAAAGAGTCTCAGTTTCTTCATCTGTAAAGTTGATGTAGTAATGATGGAGGACAAGTAATAGTAAGGAGGCATCACAGCAGAAGTTATTAGCATAGCCATTGACCCAGCTATAGAAACCAAGATACTTAGGCCCCAAGGCCTAGGTTACAAAGCATAAGATCAAAGCCAGTAGCAGACTGCTCTAGGGGTGTCTATCACACATCTAAAAGGAGAATGATAAAGATATGGAGATTAAACCCATTGTGGGATCTCTGTCCCTTTCAGATTCAATTCAAAATCAATAAACCTATGTTCACAAGGAGTGAGCCCCTCCCAAAGAGAAGCTGTTCTATATCCGTGCAGTCACCACACCAGCACAGGGCAGCAGTCCTCTGCCCGCAACCTGTGACTATGCAGGTGCTTCTCTCCACCCATTCTCTCAATGTGCAGGGCAGCAGCTTCCTGCCTGCCGGTGACAAGTACCATGCCGGGACTTCTCTGCACTGACCGCCCTCAGTGGAGGCCGCTCTCCTAAGGCTCCTGTCTGCATCCATGCAAGCCTCTCTGCAAAGCTGCCCCTCCGGGGCTGCTCTTCCTGCCCACTTGTGACTATGTGTTCAATACTCCTGTCCTTTTCCCTAATAAACCTGCTCTTTAATATAACTGAGTCTCTGTGTCATGCAGAAACTCACCTGAGATCTGGCTGCCTGCCACTGAAAGGGGAGCTCTGGTGAAACCTTTCCAGAGTGAACCCAAGGACATGTCACTAACTCCAAAAGTGACATCAGTAACATCCACCTCTTCAGATTGTTGTATGGGCCACATTTGGAACTGATGTTTAGAATAGAATGGAGAAGAAAGAACTTGTGACCAGGGTATAGTTAGGAACTTAGGCCAATTATCGGATCTCAACAATGGAAATCATTAAAATGGAGAGGGAAGGCAAATGACAAAGGAAAAGTAAAGAACACAGGTGACTGATTCATCTTGCCAGTTCCTTATTTCTGCTCATTTGACATGACCCCGAGTTTCTTATTTCTGCTCATTTTGTAACAGGGTGGTCCCTAGGAAAAGGGGAAGTTCCAGGTTCCCTGTCCCACCCAGAAGGACAATTTGACATAACCCCGAGATTTGAACTTAAACCCTGAAGTATATGGTCCCTCTCTGGAATTAACAATTGTTTGCTAATTTCCCTAGAATTGCAAATAACTATTTTTTCTCTGTTCACTATTTAAACACCTTCAACATAAGTGTTCCACACTGCCTTTTCTCAGTTAAAAAGCAAAGTCATTCACTTTCTTACACTATACTTACTTTAAGTAATTTTGCAATTTCTTCCTTCATTCTTGAGTTTGCCAATCAGGCTTCCTGCGAAATATCACAAGAGTAGAATTCCCTATTTTTACAAAATGCAAAACTCAAAATCAATCTTGCCATTTCTGGGCTTAGGGAAACCTGAAACTTTTCTTAAACCTTCAGTGTCATTGTTCAAATGCTCAATTTTTCCCACCAGCTAGCACCAGAACAATCACTACATAATAGGAGTCTTAAAGTGCCCAAGGCTTTGAAAGCATGGATTTTCTTACGAGGGTCTAAATTGAACATCGAGGTTACTCTTTCAGAGAACTTATTTGCGCAAACTTCTAAACAGGAAGTTTTACGCACAACTTTTCTCTCCGCGGGGGAGGGGTGAATCTAATTACAATCTAATTCAATACTTCTCAGTTTTTCTTTCTCCTCTCCCTCTTCTCGGGGAGGGAATAGTCAAAAATAAATGTTTCAACAGATCTCGCGGTGCTGTTCGAGATTCTCTATTAAAAAAAAAAAATAGAAATGTTGCAAAGGCGTCTGTGCCTTCCGGGGTTTGGGGCTGGGACTGCGGCTGGGAGCCCAGAGAAAGCCGCCAAGCGAGGAGGCGGGGCTCTGGCGAGTTCCCTTCCACCTTCCCCCACCCTTCTTTTCCAACCTCTGTTTGGCCCTAGTTGGATTCCAGCCTTCGCAGCAGCTGCTCCCCAGCGTTTTGCAAGAACGAAACGACTGCACCGCTGTTCTCACGATGGTGATCCGTGTGTATATTGCATCTTCGTCTGGCTCTACGGCGGTAAGGAGGGTGGAGAGTCCACCTTTATTGTTTTCCTACACAACAGTCTCCTGCTGCCCCAGAACCGTTAAATTGCACAAGTTGGTCTAGCAGCTTCTCATTCGGAGCATCTCACAGGCTCTCACTCTCCCCCATTTTCACTTTCCTCTCTTTGTTGCATGGATTTCATTTTTCCATGGAGGTTAGCTTTGTTTGCCTTATAAGGTTAGGATGCATTTCTTCTTTGAAGAAAAAAGAAAGCTACCGAGTTTTGGCACACATGGGAGATGGTGGTACAAGGTCTTTAGTGACTTCGTTAGGTGAAGAAGTCAAGTAAAATCACACATCGGTGAGTATCCAGAGTGAGGCATTTGGCATATGGGTCTTAGGTACCAAAGCAAGGGGCAGGAATGCACATCATACAGGATGGAGGTGCACATGCTCTAATGACGACGGAGTGGCGATCTACCAAAGCACTGTGGTAATTTTCAGAGTGAGACCCCTGCAATTCATTTTAAAAGCTTAAGGGCTATTAAAATTAGACAGAACGGGGAGGGTAAGTTGGGAATCACGATACAAAGTTGTGTGTGTGGCAACGGATCTAATTTTTTTCGTCTATTTTCTCTTATTTTGACCTTTATCTTTCAAATATTTTACTTCTAACAATTTGTAACTGCCTTAAATACAGTGAAAACTGGAAAGGGAACTAAAAGTGGCTTCCTGGGTAGTGCCAGGCTCAAATTCCTGCTGCTTCAAATTAGAGGATATTTTACCTCCTGGTTTCACAGTCTTTATTTAGAATAACAGTTTTTTGGCAGCTGTGGCGAAAGAACAAACTGGGGTGAAAACTGGGGGTATAGCCATGAGAAAAGTGAAAATGTTTCTATTTTTCACAACTTCAGGGAAAAGCCAGCAGTTGGCAAGAGCAGATGTGTGAATTTGGAATTTAAGATTTAGTAACTCTCTTTTCTGAGCTTTAGAGCAGAACCTTTTCTGTTTTTGTTTTGACTATTTACCTCTTAAGGGGATTTGGAGGTTATGTGAACTCACAAGAATCTTGACCCTTGAACTTTGTCTTCTATGGCAACCATGTGTGTGTAGACGGTTTTGAAATAGAATACTTAAGCTTACAATTTTTTAGCAAGTTTAGGTTTAAAAAAGGAAAACTTTTTCTATTTCCTTTGAGCCTCACTTTGTGAATTTCTTGCCTTATTATTTTCGAAGTCTATTAATTCTGATATTTCAAAGTATTTGTGTTACGCAGAACCTCAAGTATAGTTTTTGAAGACCAGCTCAAGACCTTTAGTGAAACTAATTAGGTTGAACAGATCAGGAAGGTGTTTTTACTTTGGGTGACATGCAGTGTTAATACTGCTGTTTATTATTTTCTTTCTTGCTCTCCTTCCCAAATTTCAGATTCAAGTACATAAAGCTTTCAGAATTTCTGTTCATGTAAGAACAGCTGTACCTCTCTCTTTGTTAGTACTTAAGTTTCTTTAAAATGACTGCTATCTTCTATTATTTCAATTGTTAGACCCCTCTGTTGAAGACTGCAAATAAGAAGTATTTACAGTTTGTATGTTTTAATTTTTTCTTATAGTTCATAGAGATTTTTTTTTGTTGATGCAGCAATTATAGTTCTTATTGGCCTGTTATAAAAATCTACTGCATATTAACAAAATAAATCTTAGTTTTATTACAATTTACAATATCTTTAAATAGTACTAAAGTAGTATAAATGAGTGTATTTCAGGAAGAGCTTCTTTATAACGTAAATCAGGAGCCTGTAATTTGCAATATTAAGGTTTTTCCTTTATAATACTGTCATGTTGCTTTTAACACATAATTCAGAAATTTTGGGACAAATATCCTGACAAAAACCCAATAACTACACAAAGTGAGACACTTTTATTTGGGATTAAGTGTAGTTCTCTGAGGAACATTTAAAAAAGCTTTTGGCTTTGGATTGGATGTTTCTGACTATTCTATGACTAATGTTTGTCATGTAAATAACCAATATTAGCTACTTTATTGGGGAGAGGAATATCTATGATAACTTCAAGTCAATATTAATTTATTCTGTTCTTTCCCTCATAGCCTGATTAGAAAAAAAAAGTTCAAGCTTATACTCAACTCTGCATAAAAATGAAAGCAAGTATGTTGTTTTTGTGGTGGACTTTGATAGTAGACAATGTAATGATAGCTAGTAGTTAACACTTTAAGTGTGTCAGGTACCACCTCATTTTTTCCTGGTAATTTCTGGTCCTGTGTATTAAGTTCTATGATTATCTTTATTTTTAAAAATTTTATTTATTTATGCATACAGAACAGGTACAAACCAGAGATGCAGGAGCGGTGAGAGGATTCACCAGAGGCATAGTGGGGAACAGAACAGGCCAACGAGGAAGTACACTGCTGAGGGGAGCAGCGGGCAGGTCAGGAGAGGTCTGTCGCCTGGTGGATCACCTCCGGGGTAGGGATCGAACTCATGCTGAAGTGGTTTTAGCTTGTTAGTGCTGTGTTTTAACCCACTGCGCCACCAGGGAAAGACTCTCTCTATTTTTAAGGTAAGGAAATAAAGATTCTGAGAAGTGAAAGAGCTTTTTCAAGGTCATACAATCAGTAGGCCACAGAATTTGAATCCATTGCTAGATGTTTGAATCCAAATAACATGTTTAATCACCAAGAATACATTCTCCTGGTGATGCATGATAGCTTGGGGCCATGAGAAGAAACATGTGAACATTTGAGGAGAGAGGTACAGAAAGGAGTATGTCCTATATGTGGAAGACTTGCCTGGGCATGCACATATATGGGAGTAGAAAACTGAGGTTTCATGGAGGATGACTAGAATGCCTGAAGGTGAATGCCAGTAAGTGTGGTAAAAGACTATTCACTTTAAGGCTAAGAAGTTAGAGAAGGTATACTCATTTGGAGTTGGGCTCTTATAGGTCAAGGTAGGAAAATTCAGGTCTTAATACTGCTTTTTAGGAAAACCATTGAGCAAGAATGCAGCTTTCAAGCTGCCTATCTATGGAAATGATTTCTCACTGTTAACAGAACTGTTTGCGGGCATCTTCACCTGCTGTAACACAGTATTATATATATATATATATATAAATTTCCCCCTTGAAATTGTAATGTCGTGTACACTTACATTTAATTGGAAATAAATAGTAGGCACAGGCCTATAACACTTACTACATTTCATTGACATTTACGAAAAATCAATGTTGGCCTTTGATTGAATTGTTGGAGTGATCATAGTTTGGAGAACTTCTCCCCATTTTTCTTTCCCTTAGATCCTTGATAATATCCATTTCATGGCTTCTGTGCATTCTAGGTGTGCTAGATAGACAAGATTGTTGGTGATATGTAGTTTCTTAGGGATCTTTTTATGGACTAGCTTTGTAAAATGATTACTTATATGTTAAAACATAAATTAGTTGCTGCCGTTTCACTTTTTGTGATTTTAGTTACCTGGCAATCACTCTCCAAAAATATTATGTACGAGAGATATGCCATATTAAGTTAACTTTTATTATAATTGTGTAACTTTATTATTTTTTTGTATTACTGTACTCAATTTATAAATTAAATTCATACATGTGTATATGTAGTAACTATTTGGTTTAATAGTATTTGAGGTTTCATTATCTCTCAAGGGTAAGAGGGAGGGGACTGTGTGTGTCTACATAATTTTCTCTGTGACAGTATTCAGTGCACGTTATAAAAACAAGTGAATAAAATGGAACACCCATTGCCAAATCATAAGTTACTAGCCACAGTATTTTCTTCATTTGGAGAATATTAATTAGAAAAACAAGCTACAATACTTCATTTATATGATTCTCAAGTAATTGCATCTAAAGTGATAGTGTTTTGCTGCTTTGTATTTCTAAGTTGAAAAATAATCTGATAAATGCTCTGTTGTTCGTTACAGCTGCCATGGTTTCTCTGAATACTATTTAAAGATTTTAAACTGCTTAGTAGAATAAAATCAGAAACTATTCATGAGGTGACTGGATGTGGGTTTTTTTTTTTTCTTTTCTTTTCATGTCAAGTTTAGTGGAAAATAGCTTTTACTTCAACTTGGAGTCCTGTATCTGATGACTGATTTCCTCAGTATCACAGTAACAGTAACCAAGCCGCTGGAATAATTTGGTCTAATTTAAAGGGACTTGTTTAAGCCCCTTGATAAAACTTGGTCTTGTTAAAAAATGTACTTAAATGGTCGTAGGGAAGAATGTATTGGGGTGATTATAAAGGGATCAGAATCTAGTAATTGAGAAGGATAAAACAGATTTTCTGGCTAAAGACAACTCAATTGAGGAAGGGTTCGGATAAGGTCAATCATTCCCCAGGTTGGCATCAAAAAGTAAATTGAAGCACCATATATAATCAGGCCAAATGTTTTAATTATCTAGTTAATTTCTAAAATACATATTGTATAATCAAACATCTTTTACAGGAATATTTTCTTAAGTGAATTTCAAAGATGGAATGTTGTGTGTTATTTCTTACTGATAAAATTAAACATATTGAAACAAATTGTAGAATTGAGGCTATGAGTGAGGGAAACGCAGTGGTGGAGATCACTAGGAGGTGGGATGTGAGGGGAGTAGGGGAAGTCCTCTGGACTAGGATGGAGAATTATATGTACTTTGGCCATATACTTTGGTGAAGTGGTGTGAACCTGTACTCCTAAATGTAGTGTCGCAAGCCACTGTCACCACACACGAATACACACATACAATGATAGAAATTAAAAAAAAATAAACGTTTTGAGAATATGTTGGTGACTACCTATGACTCGCTGCTTCCAGTTCTGCTTTGCAGCCTGCCAGGTGGCCTTTTAAATGCAGTACTTCTTTTATTCCAGACCGAGGTTAAACCAAAGTACATTTAGAAATAAGGGGCAACTTATGATGGCTGTTTTTATTTATTTAAGAGCCAAACTGACTTTTTACATTTGGTCAGTGGAGAAGAATTTTAAGGAGAGGAATTATTTTCTGTCCCAG